GACCGTACACATGCACACCATGCAACAGTGACCGTACACATGTACACAATGCAACAGTGACCGTACACAGGCACACCATGCAACAGTGACCGTACACATGCACACCATGCAACAGTGACCGTACACAGGCACACCATGCAACAGTGACCGTACACAGGCACACCATGCAACAGTGACCGTACACAGGCACACCATGCAACAGTGACCGTACATAGGCACACCAAGCAACAGTGACCGTCCACAGGCACACCAAGCAACAGTGACCGTACACAGGCACACCATGCAACAGTGACCGTACACATGCACACCATGCAACAGTGACCGTACACAGGCACACCATGCAACAGTGACCGTACACAGGCACACCATGCAACAGTGACCGTACACAGGCACACCAAGCAACAGTGACCGTCCACAGGCACACCATGCAACAGTGACCGTACACAGGCACACCATGCAACAGTGACCATACACAGGCACACCAAGCAACAGTAACCGTCCACAGGCACACCAAGCAACAGTGACCGTCCACAGGCACACCATGCAACAGTAACCGTACACAGGCACACCAAGCAACAGTGACCGTCCACAGGCACACCATGTAACAGTGACCGTACACAGGCACACCATGCAACAGTGACCGTACACAGGCACACCATGCAACAGTGACCGTACACAGGCACACCAAGCAACAGTGACCGTCCACAGGCACACCAAGCAACAGTGACCGTCCACAGGCACACCATGCAACAGTGACCGTCCACAGGCACACCAAGCAACAGTGACCGTCCACAGGCACACCAAGCAACAGTGACCGTCCACAGGCACACCATGCAACAGTAACCGTACACAGGCACACCATGCAACAGTAACCGTACACAGGCACACCATGTAACAGTGACCATACACAGGCACACCAAGCAACAGTGACCGTCCACAGGCACACCATGCAACAGTGACCGTCCACAGGCACACCATGCAACAGTGACCGTACACAGGCACACCATGCAACAGTGACCGTCCACAGGCACACCATGCAACAGTGACCGTCCACAGGCACACCATGCAAAAGTGGTCATCCACTGCAAACTGAGATAAATAATAATACAATCATGGTGGGTGCCAAACAGAGAATGTCTGCATATTTATAATGTCAGGAGCGATGAATATTATATTGCTTAATGGACGACATAGGTAGCTGGCTACATAAGAGATCTAGAATGCTTAGTAACGTTGATTCATTCTCTCTCGTCGTTATTCTCAACTATCAATCCTTCACCTCAACCCTCATCCTTCCATTCCTTTTCCATCATGTGTAACTCTCTCACCCTTTTATTTTATTGGTATCATATGCTGGTTTATATCCCTTCTCTAGGATCATCTTGCTTTTCCTCTAACCCTTTCCCTATTCTTCCTGTCTCTTCCTCCCTCGCCCTGCCAATCCTCTATTCTCTCTGGCCCGGCGGACACTTCCCTTTGTTATTCTGCCTCAGCTGATCCCCCTCTCGCTAGCTTATTGTTAGCGTCGAGGTAATTATGCCCATTCAATGGAGTGTGGCTAATTGACAAACAATATCGTCGATACGTCACTGGCTGGGCCGCGTCATCGTCCTCGTCAGCTCAATCCTCAGAAGCGTCGCACGCCAACAGCCTCGTTAGGGTAGTTTGTGCCCACACCAGTTGCCTTGTTAATATTTTAGTTAGGCGGCACACCATAGTCCTTCCGGTAAATTTCGTAATTTTACCTTGATACATTGTAGTTTATGTAAGTCTTATCATTAAATTCACTGAAAAGAGATAAACCCGTTGCAGGTCACACAGCACCTAGGAAATGGAAGGTAATTTATCAGCTTTGATCCGGACCAAGTCACCTTCACCAGGGTTACAAACTTGTGTCTTTCACGAGTAGTAAATACTGCACACTTGTAGAGTCATTCAAAACAAACACCAACATCGTCGACCTGAAGGGTGCTGCAAGTCTTATTCCTGAACCACCGCCACTGAAGTTCCAGCAACAAAGTTATTACTGCAGGTATAATTATAGTTACAGCAACGATGGTGTTGCTGGCTGACACATTAAATGTGTATTATGTACCTTCGACATCATCCTAACTGCGTCAATCTTGTACGTTTTATTGGTGGCTGAAGAAACCTTGTAACACACTCCGTCACAACACAAGAAGTCGGATCAGGTTAGGACATGGTTATGTCAGGTCAAGCTTGTTTTTCAACATTAACTCTCTCACGTTTCCAGGACACGCAATTACAATCACCCACATTTCCAGGACACAATCACTCACGCTTCCAGCACATGTAATTACAATCACTCACGTTTCCAGGACACCCAAATTACTATCACTCACGTTTTCAGGACAGGCAATTACAATCACTCATCTCCAGGACACACAATCACTATCACTCATCCCCAGGACACACAGTCACAATCACTCTAGCCTCCAGGATACAATCTTTACTAACATGGTTTTTACAAACATATAATAGATTAATTTACCTCGCAATATTGAACAACAGAAGAATCGGTTCAAATTACATTAAATACGAAATGAGTAAAATGCGTTAAAGTCAGGAATGAGTGAATGAGAAAAACTTCCAAACAATCCTATGACAGACACACCTTGCATGAGCAGTGCAACAATGCCAGGGTGTTAGTTATTATTGGTCAAAGGAACTTGTCTATAGACACGTTTTTGGTGAGTGAGAGAGAGAGAGAGAGAGAGAGAGAGAAGAGAGAGAGAGAGAGAGAGAGAGAGAGAGAGAGAGAGAGAGAGAGAGAGAGAGAGAGAGAGAGACATTGGCATGAGTGTCAGCCAGAGAGAAGCAGAGGGGCTCCGAGGAAGACTTTGCCAGGATTGATGAAAAATCCCCGTCTTGATGGCCTCCCCTCCTTGGGTAATGACAACGCCCCACTACACGCGTTCGCGTGCGCACACACGCAGGATGAATGCTAGTTCAAATGGTGGCAGAGGCAAACACCATACACAGCTTCAAGAGCGGATGTGATCGGGCACTGGCGACAAGAAATTATTACAATCGATAAATTAAAGTTACGAGACGAGGCCAAGAACTATGATTTAACCTCTGCAAACACAACTAGGCGAATACACACACACACACACACACACACACACAACATACTAAATACCAAAGACAAGATACCTGCACAGCTTTGCTCATACAGCAGCAAAGAGGTTATTAGAAAGAAATACTTAAACCATGAACACCCAAATTAACCACAAACAGACTACGAATTACTACTCCAGTGCAAAGACTGACACCATACGAGGTTTTACAAATAAATATAAGAACCCAACTGTGAGAGTCGATGGAAGACAGAGAAGTGGGAGCCAGGAGCTGCTGTGTGCTCGCTGAGCAAATATTTTTTGTCATGACCAGTATAAGCAGTACATTAATACAACCACCAGTACTACTATTACTACTACTACAGCTACCATTACTGCTACTACTACTGTTACTAATACTACCACTATTATTTTACAACTACCACTACTAGTAATCATAATAATAGATATTAAGTGGTAAGTACAGTACCCACACTCTATATGAAGGAGGTGGGTATTTAAATTTAGAATTATGATGATTGCGCGCATGTAAGTAGCCAGAGCAGTGAAATAATAATAATAATAATAATAATAATAATAATAATAATAATAATAATAATAATAAATTAAAATTCTTCTTGCAATCGTTGTTGTTTTTATGTTATTGGTGTATTTATTTTAGTTATTTCATCATAGGGATAGTAAGAATGGAGTGGGAAAACACTGGGGGTAGGACAGACAAAACGAAAAAAAATAAGAAGAGAGAAGAAAGAAATGTTAAGTAGCCTGACCAGTTTTTATGAGTCTGAAGAGAGTGGTTTTTGTCACACAGTGACGAGTGTATACTGACCTGGAAATCTTCCAAGTTTTTTTTTGTAATCAATATTACTTTACACTGGAAATTTTCAACAAATGATATTTGCCCATTTTTAAATTGATTTAATTTGTTCCCCGCAGCGAGGGCTTAAAAACTCGCTCACATTTCACATTTTACCAGCATTAATTCAATTTCACGCACATACATTTGCACATATGTAAATGAACACAAATAACTATGACTAACTTTACGCCCGCATGAGAGTTCGGATAGACAAAGGGAGACGAAGAGACATGAACAGAAACATGGAATAACATAACATACATGGGAGGATGAACACACACACACACACATACACACGTACAAACATGGACGGATAGATAGAAGGAACACATAATGATGCTCGGATTAAGTCACTAGTGTAATTATGAGAGAACACAAAGTACAAATGGAAGTCCAAACAAACATAGGCATACGGACAGAACGACAGAGAAGCACGAAAAACAGTAGTTTCTCACTTTCTCGAACTTAACAGCATGAAGGAGGAGGACCTGTAGAGGAGCGGACCCAACTCTAGGCATCGACTACACGAAGGTCATAAAGGCAGCATGTCATCTGTTCACTAACAATGAAGAAAAACTTTAATCTCTAAAATACAGATTAAAGTAAACTCTCAGCGATATATATATATATATATATATATGCACACACACACACAGACAGACACCTCTCAGCGTATATACAATGAGACAGACACCTCTCAGAGCATTTATCCTACGAGTCAGCGTCTTTGTCTACAGTGTCCTTAACAGCTGTACTGAAAGTGATCCAGGGCAAAATGACTGCCTGTGGTGCCACCGCATTACATTATTATTGTCTTCCTGAATAATAATTATAATAATAATAATTTTCTAGATCAAAAATAACTACAGCTGCAGTGTTAACCAGCCAATCTATGGCACACTGTTGTTCCTTTAAGGTGGTAGCAGAGTACAAGTTTAACAAGAGAGCAGCTTCCTTGGTGCGTGTCTGTGATGAGGCGAGCGTTCACCGCTAAATCCTTGCTTGTAATAGAATAGCAAAACAAGCTTTACATGGCTTACTGGAGCTTAGGGAGCTTCCACGCGGAGGCTTCCTCGCTTCAGACATTAAGTTATGCTTCGACACAGTGAGGTTTCCAGACCAGACATACACTGAGGTATCTTGAAACACTCTGTAAGGCTTCAGACCAAATACAATAAGACTTACTGACCAGATAAAGTATGACTATCAGATTAGATACAGTATGGCTTTCAGATTAGATACAGCAAAGTTTCAGTGCCATATATACTGAGGCTTCCAAATCAAATACAATAAGGTTTCCAGACCAAATGCAGCGGGGCATCCAGAGACACTCAGGCTTCCTGTCCAGACTCAAGACAAGCTTGTGAAGTAGTGGCCAACAAAGTAATCCCAAGAAACTCTGGGTAGATATGGCAACAACTCGCTGTGTTTGAGAGATCAGTCTTTCTCTATATACAATTCAAGTGAGTTTTTCTATTGGTCTATCGAGACCTAGTGTTCAGTTTTCCTACTATATAGAGCAATGTGCTGACACTATCTATAATCAATACGCCGTTCATTTTATACTGTCAGCTATCTATGTAGAATATGTGTCATAGTATGTGACAGTATGGCACTGTTTTCTATACAGACATCTTGCTGATGGTCACCAACTTCTATCTGGTGCTGCAGGAAGTAGAGTCACTTTTTTTAGGGTCAATCAGGTTTGAGTCTCGCAAGGAACCCTGAGACTGAATGTTCATTAATTTCCCAATCGTTTCGCCGGTGTAGTGACATCCTAAAATCGTGAGATCATTCTCAACAATCCACTCACCACTAGTGCTTCCAGAGCTGGATTAGTATTTGCTGGAAAATAATCTCCGCTCCATCCTTATAGGGAATCGATGCTGCAGGCGGTAGACTTTGTGTTTCTAATGTAAATATACCGAACCTCAAGTCTCGCAAGATGTCATTAGACTAAATATGTGTATGCGCGCGTGTGTGTTAGTTACCATTTTGTCCTAGGCACATGTCGACTAGACACTAGGCCTGTTGTACGTGTGTGTATCTGCGTGTGTGTGTCTGTGTGTCTGCGTGTGTATGTGTGTGTGTATGTGTGTGTGTGTGTGTGTGTGTGTGTGTGTGTGTGTGTGTGTGTGTGTGTGTGTGTGTGTGTGTGTGGTGTGTGTGTGTGTGTTGTTACTCACCTAGTTGTGGTTGCAGGGAACGATTCACATCTCCTGGCTCCTCCTCTTCACTGGTTGCTATTAGGTTCACTCTCTCCCTGCTCCATGAGCTTCATCATACCTCTTCTTAAAGCTATGTATGGATCCTGCTTCAACTACATCACTCTCCAGACTATTCCACTTCCTGACAACTTTATGACTGAAGAAATATTTCCTAACATCTCTGTGATTCATAAGCCTTCAATTTCCAATTGTCACCCCTTGATGCTGTGTCCCATCTCTGAAGCATCCTGTAGCTATCCACCTTGACAATTCCTCTGAGTATTTTATACATCGTTATCATGTCCCCCCTATCCTCCAGAGCCGTCAGGTAGATTTCTCTTAACCTCTCCTTGTAGGACATGCCTCTTAGCTCCGGGACTAGCCTTGTTGCAAACCTTTGCACTTTCTCTAATTTCTTGACATGCTTGACCAATTGGGGGTTCCAAAGTGGTGCTGCATACTCCAATATGAACCTGACGTACACGGTGTACAGTCTTGAACGAACGATTCCTTAATGAGGTGTCGGAACACTATTCTTAGGTCTGGCAGCCGCCCATATGCTGCAGCAGTTATTTGGTTGATGTGCGCCTCAGATGTGCTCGGTATTATACTTACTCCAAGGTCCTTTTACTTGAGTGGAGTTTGTAGTCTTTGGCGACCTAGCCTGTACTCTGTGGTCTTCTTTGCCCTTCCCCAATCTTCATGACTTTGCATTTGTGGTGGTGGAGGCGGTGGCGGCGGCGATGTTGTTGTTGGTGTGTGTGTGTGTGTGTGTGTGTGTGTGTGTGTGTGTGTGTGTGTGTGTGTGTGTGTGTGTGTGTGTGTGTGTGTTAGTTAGTTACCAGTTTGTCCTAGGCACATGTCGATTAGACACTAGGCCTGGTGTGTGTGTGTTAGTGTGTGTGTTGTGTGTGTGTGTGTGTGTGTGTGTGTGTGTGTGTGTGTGTGTGTGTGTGTGTGTGTGTGTGTGTGTGTGTGTGTTTGTGTGTGTGTGTGTTGTGTGTGTGTGTGTGTGTTATGTATACCAGTTTGTCTAGGCACATGTCGATTGACACTAGGCCTGGTGTGTGTGTGTTAGTGTGTGTGTGGTGTGTGTGTGTGTGTGTGTGTGTGTGTGTGTGTGTGTGTGTGTTGTGTGTGTGTGTTTGTGTGTGTTGTGTGGTATTGTGTGTAGTGTGTGTATGTTGTGTATTGTGTGTATATGTGTGTATATGTGTGTGTATATGTGTGTGTATATATGTGTGTATATGTGTGTGTATATGTATGTGCATATGTGTGATGTAGTGTGTGTATATATGTGTGTATATGTGGTGTATATGTGTGTGTATATGTGTGTGTATATTGTGAATTGTGTATATGTGTGAGTATATATGTGTGTTGTGTGTATGTGTGTATTGTGTGTATATGTGTGTATTGTGTGTGTAAGTGTGTGAATGTGTGTATATGTGTGTGTATATGTGTGTTATGTGTGTGTACTCACCTAGTTGTACTCACCTAGTTGAGTGTTGCGGGGGTCGAGTCCGAGCTCCTGGCCCCGCCTCTTCACTGATCGCTACTAGGTCACTCTCTCCTGAGCCGTGAGCTTTATCATACCTCTGCTTAAAGCTATGTATGGATCCTGCCTCCACTACATCGCTTCCCAAACTATTCCACTTACTGACTACTCTGTGGCTGAAGAAATACTTCCTAACATCCCTGTGATTCATCTGTGTCTTCAGCTTCCAACTGTGTCCCCTTGTTACTGTGTCCAATCTCTGGAACATCCTGTCTTTGTCCACCTTGTCAATTCCTCTCAGTATTTTGTATGTCGTTATCATGTCCCCCCCTATCTCTCCTGTCCTCCAGTGTCGTCAGGTTGATTTCCCTTAACCTCTCCTCGTAGGACATACCTCTTAGCTCTGGGACTAGTCTTGTTGCAAACCTTTGCACTTTCTCTAGTTTCTTCACGTGCTTGGCTAGGTGTGGGTTCCAAACTGGTGCCGCATACTTCAATATGGGCCTAACGTACACGGTGTACAGGGTCCTGAATGATTCCTTATTAAGATGTCGGAATGCTGTTCTGAGGTTTGCCAGGCGCCCATATGCTGCAGCAGTTATTTGGTTGATGTGCGCTTCAGGAGATGTGCCTGGTGTTATACTCACCCCAAGATCTTTTTCCTTGAGTGAGGTTTGTAGTCTCTGGCTCCCTAGACTGTACTCCGTCTGCGGTCTTCTTTGCCCTTCCCCAATCTTCATGACTTTGCACTTGGTGAGATTGAACTCCAGGAGCCAATTGCTGGACCAGGTCTGCAGCCTGTCCAGATCCCTTTGTAGTTCTGCCTGGTCTTCGATCGAGTGAATTCTGTGTGTGTGACTGTGTGTGTGTGGTGCCGAATAGGTAAAACTTGCGATTTTGGCTTAAATAGCAACGCTCGTCTTGCCGAATAAGACAAGCGAAAATTTGTGTATGTAATGATTTCGCAAAAATCATTCTGAACCTAACGAATAAAATATGTCATAGTGTTTGTTTATTATTAAATTATTGTAAACTTGTCTAAAATATATTTAGTTGGAATAGGCTAAATTAAATTGCGCTTGTTATAATAAGGTTAGGTAAGTTTTCTAAGGTGCTTTTGGTACAAAATTATTAATTTTTACATTACCATAAATGAATATATATATATATATATATATATATATATATATATATAAATATATAATATATATATAGTGTGTATATATATAAATATATATTATAATATAATATATATTATATAATATTATATAAAATTTAACGTATAAGAAATTTTAATTAAATGTCTTGCTAAATGACCTGTTCTATCTATTCTACACGATATATATATATATAATCATGCAAAATAAGTAAAACTTGCGATTTTGGCTTAAATAGCAACGCACTTCTTGCCGAAAGCAAAAATTTGTGCATGAAATAATTTTTCAAAAATCATTCTGAACCTAACGAGAAATATATATTTCATTGTGTTTGTTTATTATTAAATTATTGTAAACTTATATAAAATATATTTAATTGGATTAGGCTAAATTAAATTGCGTTAGGCAAGTTTTCTAAGGTACTTTTGGTACAAAATCATTAATTTTTATATTAACATAAATGAAGAAAATATATCTTTAAATGTGTAAGAGAAAATTTTAGAAAGGAGTTAATTTTAAATGAATTCTTGCTAATTGACCAGTTTTACCTATTCGGCACGACACAAATTTTCTCTTGCAAGTTTAAAGACATGTTTTTTTGTCATTTATGTTAATGTAAAAATAATGTGTACCAAAAGAACCTTAGAAAACTTACCTAACCTTATTATAACAAGCGCAATTTAATTTAGCCTAACCCAACTAAATATATTTTAGACAAGTTCACAATAATTTAATAATAAACAAACACTATGACATATTTTTATTCGTTAGGTTCAGAATGATTTTTGCGAAATCATTACATATACAAATTTTCGCTTGTCTTATTCGGCAAAACGAGCGTTGCTATTTAAGCCAAAATCGCAAGTTTTACCTATTCGGCACTACACACGCGCGCGCGCGCACACACACACACACACACACACACACACACACACAACATATATATATATATATATATATATATATATATATATATATATATATATATATATATGTCGTGCCGAATATGTAAAACTGGTCAATTAGCAAGAACTCATTTAAAATTAAGTCTTTTCTAAAATTTTCTCTTGTACGTTTAAAGATATATTTTTTTCATTAATGTTGATGTAAAAATTTATGATTTTGCACCAAAAGAAACTTAGAAAACTTACCTAACCTTATTATAACAAGCGCAATTTATTTTAGCCTAACCCAACTAAATATATTTTAGATTTGCTTACAATAATTTAATACTAAACAAACACAGTTAAATATATATTTTTCGTTAGGTTCAGAATGATTTTGGCGAAATTATTGCATACACAAATTTTCACTTGTCCTATATGGCAAGATAAGCGTTGCTGTTTAAGCCAAGATCGCAAGTTCTGCCTATTCGGCACGACATTATATATATATATATATATATATATATATATATATATATTATATATATATATATATATATATATATATATATATATATATATATATAAATGGTTTTTAATACTTGACGTGCTGTTGGAGTGTGAGCAAAGTAACATTTATGAAGGGATTCAGGGAAACCGGCAGGCCGGACTTGAGTCCTGGAGATGGGAAGTACAGTGCCTGCACTCTGAAGGAGGGGTGTTAATGTTGCAGTTTAAAAGCTGTAGTGTAAAGCACCCTTCTGGCAAGACAGTGATGGAGTGAATGATGGTAGAAAAGTTTTTTTTTCGCCACCCGCTTG